AGTTGCTTAGTGATTTCTATGGAAAATTTGCAAGAATTTCCCTTTTTTTTTTTCCAATTTTCAACATTTTTTTACCTTCCTTTCTAGCCATATTTATAGGTATGAGTGGTAGACTTTTTGGCTTGTTTGACTTGATCTTGGCCCTTCATTTAGTTTAATCTCTACCATTGATTTAACTTTTAATCCTAGCCCTTTATTTGTTTTAATCCTAGCCTTCCATCTCTCTTTAAATTTCATCCATCCATCTCATAAATCTCTAACCATCCATTTGGTTGCATCGGGACAAGTAAGGGTCAAATCCTCCGAGAAAGGGAATTAGTCGATTGTTATAATTGTTTGAGTGTTCTTGCAGTGTAAAGAGGGATTTGTGTGTCCGGAATATTTGAAAGTAACAAAAAGTAGTAAAGAATAATAATATTAAAGAGACTTTGGTTGAACTTCGGTTTTCATTTTTAGTTTGGTCGCCGATCATTGATTAAATAATTAACTTATCCTAAATATGAATATTCATTGTAAGGAAACAACATGTATGTTGACCTTAGTCTTTCCTTAGTCGTCAACGGAATATACATTACCAAATTAATTCCCTAGCTATTGAACAACTTGATAAGCACTAGATAAATTTAATCCAATAACAACATTAAGATGAGAAAGACAAGTGAAACTAAGCCACCCTCCTAAGCACTAGAGAAGATATAACCTAGTTCTATGTTTTTTTAAGGAATTGAATGAAAACATCACATAATCATCAACCCCTAGTTACTATTGTAGACAAGTTTAGACAATTAATTTCACGAACTTGAATACTTAGCTAGCAATAAGTAATATAACTAAACAACTAGTGTGCACTCTAATTAATTTAATCATACGACTATGAACCAATCATGCGAGAAAAACATAAACTACCCATTAAAAATAAGTTTAGAAATAAAGTCGGTAATCTCACAACGATTAACCAAAAGCTTCAATTTGATTCAACCAAGAATGAATTTTAGTTATTCGAATATATTATAGAGAGAATTTCTATGAAAAGTTGCTTGCTAAGGATTGACAAAGCAGAAGAGAGCCAAATAGTACATTAGCTTTGCTATTTATACCTAAAACTAGAGTGACATCACGTGTATGTCAACCCCACATGGGGCACATAGCTTAATGCATAAAGTTACGGTGGTTTGTTACTTGATATCATACGGTTTGGAGCCTTAGAAAATAAGTATTACATAGCTTTGTAACTAGGGTACATGGTCGTGTGCCATTGTTCTTCATCCTGTGTTGCCAAACTTCGCCCGTGTATATTTCTTCTTCAAACCGTGTTGAACCTCTTTTGCTCATATAGACTTGCCTTGCTTTAAAGACACGGGCGTGTGACTTTGTATTGCAAATCATATGCAATACCTTCTACGTGTTTAGACTTATGTTTGCTTAAGAATCCACACGGTTTCTTTCTTTAAGTCACACAGTTAGTAGCTATTTCTTTTGTTATTTCGCATGACTCGTGTTACTCTTTTAAGGCTCTTTGAAGTTTTTCTCTTCTTTTTTTAGGTTTTGGGTTTTCTTGCTTTGATTCATCATTTTTTCTACAAAACTCAAAACTCGTTATCTTATTCTTAAAAAATATAATATAATACAATAATTACTAGAGAGTTCAATACAATAGAGCATAAAAATCATATTAATTATACACTCATTATATCCCCAATTGTCTTAATTTCACTTTTGTTTTATTCAATTATACTCCCGATATGATTTTTTTTTTTTTTTTTTGCATTTTCTATTCTATTAATTTTTTGTATTTTTTGATTCCTTTTCCAATCTTTTTTTCTTTTGTAGTAAATTTCAAAATAAAGTTAAATAAAATAAAATAAAATAAGAAACAAATTAAAAAAAAAAAGAGAAAAATGTTGGGTTATGACAATGATAATGCTTATATTATGGATTTGCCCAATACAATGGGGATTTCAAAACCTTTAACGTGGACGATATCTATTTGTTTCATTCTTCAAAAGAACCTTTATATCCTGAAGTGTGCGATTTTTTTTTTTCTATTCTATTAATTTTTTGTATTTTTTGATTCCTTTTCCAATCTTTTTTTCTTTTGTAGTAAATTTCAAAATAAAGTAAAATAAAATAAGAAACAAATTAAAAAAAAAAAGAAGAGAAATGTTGGGTTATGACAATGATAATGCATATATTATGGATTTGCCGAATACAATGGGGATTTCAAAACCTTTAACGTGGACGATATCTATCTGGTTCATTCTTCAAAAGAACCTTTATATCCTGAAGTGCAAATTAAATCGAGGGCGAGTTTTCCTCAAGTGGAGGGGATTGACGAGGGGCATTAAGCTAACAAATACAAGGAGCAGAATGATCGCCTAGAAATCTATGAGGAGGACATCTTAAATTTAGCATTTATTTTAATACTTTAGTTACTTTAGTTTTTAGTATTTGTCTAGACGTAAAGCACTCTTTTAAGAGCAAGGGTTGATTGCTATTTAAGTGATGTATTGCATATTTAAGAGGACTTTTGTTTTTGGCTTTGAATCTGGTATAAAATTAGAGCTTTCTCTACCCTCTGTTTTAGAGTTACAAAACAGAGACTTACTTCCTGTATCCTCTCTTTCACGGTTTAGAAACAGAGGTTCGTTCATTCGTCTTCCTGTTGCGTGATGGATTGTGAACAAACCTGTAAGAAATTTTGGATCTGCCTTAAGCTGAGGACCCATTTTTTAAGTTTCATTCGTAATGGAATTGGACTTCTATTTTCTAACCTCTGATCTCTTCTATTTTTTATATTAGATGTTGGACTCAAACCCAAACCCAAACACTAAGGGCTAGCTGAGAGCAAAATTTGGGCAATCATTTGGGCTCTAAGAGCATCATCATTTTTCATTTTTGGATATTGGGGCATCCACCACACTCCAGAAAAATATAGTGTCGCATGACATTTTGGAGTCTAAAGTTTCCACTTTACATGGTTAGAATTAGCTAGCTTTAAAGCCACCATGCTCGACAGACAATGCCAATTTCTTATACAAAATGATAACCGAGGATTTGAGAGTCACCACTCAGCAGTACCATCATGGTTTGGACTTTGAATTGGAAAAAATTGGCAGCAAAATGCAAGAAAAACCAATGAAATATAGAAGTTGACCCAAAATTTTGAAGACCGTTGTTAAGGTGGCGCATATCACAATTGAAGGTACATTATCTTGCGATTTTCTGAATTTGGTGGCCTCCACTTCAGATGTTCACTAGTGATAATGTGTGTCACATGAATCACTTACCAATAATTTACCCATGATAATCAAAATGTGAGGAAATTTTAGCCAAATCTTTTGATTTTGTCAAGATGTTGCAATGGAAAAGGTTATGGTCTCATCTGCATTATTTACCTAAATCCCCGTAAACTGATTTGTCGAGTAGCTAGGTCAACACCCACTCAACTACTAGCCCAATTTGTAAATATTTAATGGCATTTCTAGGTAGTAAATTTTGTACCTTTATAAAAGAGGAAAGATTAGAATCCTAGGAAACATACAGCCGTATAGAGATTTTGAGAGAGACAGAAGACTACGTTCATGGGAATTTTACATGTCTTTCTTTTGTTGTTGCTGGTTTTGGCACACAATTACGGTTCATCAGTTGCTTATGCACAAATATTGCACCACAAGGATGGTAATAATAATCAACTTTCATTTTCATTTTTATAAATAAAAAACGTTATGTTTTAGAATATCCTCCTCTTCTTCTTCTTCTTCTTATTTTGTGTTATTAAATCAACGTATCAAATCTAGGTTTGATTTGTTGTAAGTGTGTTACAATGTAATTTTTTTATTCAGTAATTGTCTAGAAATTAATGTATGCATGATTATTTGTGACTTCCCTAACACGTAGCCATTTATGTATATTATTCCAAAATAAATCTAGTAATCAAAGGCAAATTTTAAACCTTTGAAATTGAGTGCCTTTTGTTTTGTCTAAACATAACCCTTGTTTTTTTTTTTTTTTTTACCTTCTTTTGTAAGGAAAAAAAAAAGTAGCAATAAAATGTTTTTTAATTAACTTGAAAACTTGTTATTTCAAGACAAAACATTGATGAATATGAAAAAATATTTTTTATAATAGTTATCAATTCACAATTTTAAGTTAACATTCATCATTCAGTTTATTCTAACATCATCATTATCATCACTATTTTATTAATATTGCCACTATTCTCATTATTTCTAATAACAATATTAACATTCATCATTCAGATTATTCTAACATCATCATTATCATCACTATTTTGTTGGCATTGCTGCTATTGTCATTATTTCTAATAATAATATTATCATAGCAGTTCTTTTATTATTATTATTATTATTATTTTATATCATCACCGATGTCATCTTTATTATTATTTATGGTAATAATTCTATTACAACCATCATTTTAGTATTATTATCATCATTTAACCATGCCAAAATGACCACCACCCTCACCACTTCGTAAACACCATATTTATCACTAGTGTTACCACCATTATTACCTAATTTACTATCAGAACTTATTATTGTAAGTTTGTTATATGTAACACGTTTATTTATTTACATGAAATATTTTATGCAAATCAGATCACATCAATCCTCATATTCATAGCATTTTATAATTATTTGTCAATAGAAGAGCTTTCATTCTTGTTACTTTCAACACAGCTAGTGCACTGGTACGTAAATCTTTATATTTCAATTCTAGCTAACATATAGATTATCAAAGGACAAGGTAGCATTAAAAAGTAAAAATCTAATTTGAGTTTCATTTAATTACCAGATAAAACTTCTATAGGTGGGTTATTCTTTAATAATTATTACGATCATGATTGCAAGTTAAGTATTACTTTTGTTAGTATTTATGTGTAATTAATTTGGTGGCAGTGAATGGTCTAAATGCCATGGCTCGGGGTCTGCGCATGTTAAATCAAGTGTTTTCGCAGAGGAGCTGCTGGGAGGGAAAAAATGAACGCCCTACATCAGCAAAAATTAATTGCAAATGCACTTTCAGAAACAACTCTGTCTGTCACGTTACAAACATGTAAGGAGCAGTACGTGGGAGTACCACTCATCGTCTCCTGAACTTCTTTAATTTATATATATAGAAACAAATCAAATTAAACCAAGCTGTTTAGCGAGCATTCCTGTTTGCATGCTTTAGTAATGGAATTAAGTGCTAAGGATTAAAGTGTCAATACTAATAGATGTATAAAGGACCCTAACCATTGAGATTTTCATTAGGGGGTCTAATGATCCGTGTCTTAGAAGTAATGGATGGGAATTTAAGAAAAAACAATAAAAAATAAATACTTGTGGGGTGCAGTGATTTTACAGGTCAGCGTTTGAGAGGTGAAATCCCACCTGAAACTGCCAATCTTCGTTATTTGGAAATACTGTAAGTATCTAAGTTCATCCGCCTTGATCACCTCCTTTCTGTTTTTTCTTTCCCTAAACTCGATCCAAAAGCTGATAAAGTGTACATAAACGCTGCTAAACAGGAACCTAAGTGAAAATGAGCTTCATGGTACCATCCCCACTTCATTCAGTAACCTCTCCCGGCTCACCACCTTGTAAGCTGATCATGTTGTCTTGCTACATAACATCTCAATTAGTACTATGATATATATATATATATATATATATATATTGCCAAAGAGTTGAGTCAAATTAATACCGTTGTCATTGTTTCTATTGGTGATGTTTTATTTATAATCCTCCTGCTGGTTTATTCACTGTTTTGTATTATGATTTTATTGGGATTGTGTTTTTCTATTTAGTGTAATTTTTTTTTCTACGACCTTTGATCTCTTTTATCAATAAAAAAAAAAAAAACCACATGTCATTTTGAAAGTCAAAATTTTGATTTAACAAAATTAGAGGGAGGGCTTAAGTTTGTCCAAAATATATAAAGGATCCAATTGCGTTTTCTGAAACAATGAGCTCAATATGACATAAAATCAAAACAAGAGGGACCTGATCATCATATGTCACTAAACGGCTGCACTTTTATGTCAATTTGCAGCTCCTTTAATTTACCAATAAATGCTAGCTCAATCGGAAGAAAATGAAGGAAAATTTATTCAAATTGGCTGTGACCTAGATTCAGTGTTAAATTGATCCTCATAACCATAAGAACCTAAGCTCATTTTTGCACACACACACAGCAACTCTTTAAGATGATTGTGATCTCAAAATTAATATTTGTTAAATTATGAATACGTACAGAGTCCTAAGCCAAAACAAGCTGGAAGGAGCAATACCTAATGTCATTGGTGACATGAAGTCTTTGAATTACATGTAAGTCCACTGTTAAATCCATGCTACCATTTTAAGTACAAGTTTCATTTATTTGTACCCACATATTTTTGTTCTACCTACTTACCTATATACATTTTCCCACCACAGAGATTTATCAGAAAACTGGTTCAACGGCTCAATTCCAGCACCAGTTTTTGCTTCCCTCCCACTTCTTCAGTATCTGTTAAGTGCCTGCCTGCCTACCATATCATTCTGAAAAAGAAACAGTTCGTGCGTTTTTAACATTTTTTTCTTGTCGACGTTGTGTTATAGGGACTTGAGAAACAACTTACTATCAGGAGGAATTCCACCAGAATTTGGGAATGTTACCACTCTTGTAAAACTGTAATATTATATATTACCACTATACATATATTCATCCATCGTAAAAGCCACAGCAGAAGTTTTAAATTATTTACTTTCTACTAACGTTTTTATTTTCTTCTATGTAGAGATTTGTCAGATAATCATCTCTCAGGCGTCCTTCCCAACGAGCTGGGAAGACTTGTTAACCTTACGCACCTGTAAGTCTTAATCTCGTTTTAAACTCATCTGTCAAATCTCATCTTGAAATTCTTATGGTATTTTAGCTGCCGTTTCGTATCATCCGCAGTTTCTATTTTTCTGTTTTTGCTTTCAAAAGAACTTGTTTGTTTTGGTTTTCATTTTTTAAAAAATGCCAAAATTTTAGACTTTTTAACGTCGAAAATCCTAAACAATTAAGTTTCCTGTTTCCGTTTTCACAGAAATAGAAAATGGAAATCGTACATATATAGGTCTCATGATATGGACTTTTGAGTTGAATGAATAACACTTTCATGATGACTGAATTTTCGGAATTTATACATAAATTGACATTTCCTTTCTGATTTATCTGAAAATAGGATCCATGACATTGATTTAAGAAATTTCTCTGATACGTAAATTATTCTTCTGAACTGTTTTAGGGTGTTGGTTAACAATGAGTTCAGTGGCGCACTGCCTAAAAGCTTTGCAGAACTTAAGAAGATGGTCCATCTGTAAGTGATGATTTCCCCCGTAAATGCTAGTTCCTGTCCTGTGAGCTAAGTTAATACTAAAACAGGGAAACTCTTATTACTGCAGATTCATTACTGGAAACAACTTCGCAGGCAAGATACCAGAGTATATTGCTAATTGGGAGAATCTTAGGGTTCTGTAAGCAGCTTTTATGTAAATGATGACTGATTGAATGCCAGCATTCTAAACAATAACAAATCCTGATGCTGCTAGTTGCTTGTTGGTTATAATGAATGGTTGCAGGGGACTGATGGGAAACAGTTTTGAAGGGCCTTTTCCTGATGCATTATCATCATTAAACCTCACCACACTGTAAAGTTCCCTCTGTGCTCAACTCAAATCTTGGTATTCATAATTATATAACACAAAAATTTATGACTCATGATCTTGGTTGCACCAGACATGTAGCTGACTTGGCGAGCAGTGAAGGAAGGGACTTTCCGTTTCCAAATATATCTGGAATGACATCTCTGGCATGGCTGTGAGTGTTCTGCTGTCTATTTGCATATTTATTTTTCTGGAGGAACAACCTTCTTATCCAAAACTTAATAATCATTCCATTGCAGGACATTGCGGAATTGTTCGATAACTGGTCTGATCCCTGAATTCATTCTTCAAATGACATCCCTCTATTATCTGTAAGTTTATTATGTTACAGAGTACAGATCCTGGTTGTTTGCGGTCAAGTCTCCGGACTGTTCAATTCATCAGAAGTTGAGAACTCAATTTTTCATCGTTTTATGTGGGTTCAATAATTTCATCTCTTGACTTGATTCTTATTTAGGGATTTGAGCTTCAACAATTTGACAGGTGAAATTCCAAACTTGAGTTACAATCAAGGACTCAAGTACATGTAAGGAAGCTAGCTCAGCATATGCTACCAAAGATTCCCTATGAAATCAATGATAATGTAATATAGAATTTCTTTAATTACATTAAATCAATCATGGATGTATTCTACTTTTGCATTCAGATACCTTAAAGGAAATAAATTCAGTGGATCATTCCCCAGATGGCTTGCCGATTCAACAAATGCATATGTGTATGTCTTCGTATTTACAATCTACTATTTTCTGGTAAAGATGATTAGCAATTGACTTCCAACAAAAAGACTGGAGTGAATAGAATATCATCTTGATCTCAATTTTTTTTATTGATTTATTGAAATCATGCTTGTTCCTTATGTGCAATTTGCAGAGACATTTCAGAAAATAGTTTCGAAAGTGCACCTATGCAGCAGAGAGGCATATCCTCCAATATGTAAGAGAAACATGTCCATTACTACACTCCTCGCATTTCAATATCTTCATCCCCATCACACAAGGAAAGAGTTTCATGCAAGATCTTTTATTAGTATAATATACATATTGACTTATTCTATGTCTGCATGTTTATCAGAAACACTTTTGCTTGCTGTACTGAGGCATCAAATCTGTAAGTTCCTTTTTCTACCTTGTCTAACTCTATGAATGCGGTAGAAGTTAGCTGTACCTTACGCAATTCTTTTTTTCCTGTAGGAGCATGGCATGGCAGAGAAATGACTACTCTTGCCACAGTGATAAACCATTAAGTGAATTTATTAACTTTATGCTTTTTGGTTTTGTCATGTTTTCCCTTCGCAAGGAGCTGATGCTTACTGAGAAGTCAATTTATAAATATATGAGTTTCTAACAGACGCATTGTACATTGCAGATGATCATCTCTATATAAATTCTGGTGGTGTTGGGATGCTGGCTAATGGAGTTTATTATGAAGCTGACTCACAACCGGACGGCGGATCAACATTCGTTCTAAGTGATGACAAAAATTGGGGTTACAATAGTATGGGAATATTCCTTGGAGCAGAGCATGACCAGTATACCATGTCTGTGGAGAAACCATTATGTGGAATTTCCGGTGACAGTGCGCCTTTATATAAGACAGCTCGTGTTTCCCCAATATCCTTAAAGTACTATGGATTTTGTATGAAGAATCGTAAATACAAAGTGAAGCTTCACTTTGCAGAAATAGTGTATGGAGAAAATAGAGATCCTAGCAGTAAGGGGAAACGCTTGTTTGATGTGGCAATTCAGGTAAGTAATCAATTCATAAATTTAGAGTGCTAGTCTCTGAACTGCTATAATGAAGTATAAAATTTTGATAGGACAAGAAGGTGCAAGAAAATTTCAATATAAGAGAAGTAGCAAAGGGAGTAAATGGAAGTGTAACTTTGGACTTTATTGCTACTGTGAAGAACAACCGACTGGAGATCCACTTATACTGGTCTGGCAAGGGTTCGATTAGTTCTCCAATGGAGTATTATGGTCCTCTTGTATCTGCCATTTCGGTTTCTCCTGGTAGACTTGTTGTCTCAAAAAAATTGTTTATGGTTTCACATGAAGTTTCTTCTCTTTAACATCCTGTTAATTCTCTTATGTAGCTCCAAGAAAATCTGGCAGAAAACCATCAGCAATGAGTATTGCTGCACTTATATGCTCTGCTTTACTTTTTCCACTACTGGTTGTGGTTGCCATTTGCAAAATGGGCTGGCTAGGCGGCAAAGGAAAATTTCACATTGAAGGTGAGAATCTATAATGTTTGGAGTCAGTTTTTTTGGCTGTAGAATCTTTAAAGTTTGTAACTCCTATTAATAACATCATTTTCCTTGTGAGTTTGAGTTTGATGGCTGATGTTGTGATGCAGAATTAAAATGTGTCGAACTCATACCAGCAGGATCTTTTAACTTCCGGCAGATAAAAGCTGCCACTCAAAATTTTAGCCCTTCAAACAAGATTGGTGAAGGAGGATTTGGACCTGTTTTCAAGGTCTATGCCACTACATATTTGTTTAGAAAGTCCTCGAGCTTCATCTTGCTTAGTTTTTCTTTCAGCATCTTGCATAGATGAGCTACATATTCTACTGGTTTGCCTAATAAGTGAAGTGATTGCAGGGAGTACTTCCAAATGGAACAGCAATAGCGGTCAAACAGCTTTCGTCGAAGTCAAAGCAAGGAACCCGTGAGTTTGTTAATGAAGTGGGAACTATATTTTCATTGCAACATCCAAATCTTGCGAAGCTATTAGGTTGTTGCACAGATGACAACCAACTATTGCTGGTTTATGAGTACATGGAAAATAATTCCCTTGCACATGCTTTATTTGGTAAGTAGTTGGGAAGTAGAACAAGTTTTTCAATATGGAGCATCAACAATATCTACAGTTTTTACAATAGTGAAATTCTCAATTATGCAAGTACATGGTTATCTGCAGGACCTGAAGAACTAAGATTGAGACTCAATTGGCCAACCAGGTTCAAAATCTGCCTAGGGATAGCTAAAGGTCTGTCATTTCTCCATGAAGAATCCAAACTGAAGATTGTACATAGAGATATTAAGCCCACAAATGTGCTTCTTGACAAGGATCTCAATGCAAAGATATCAGACTTTGGACTTGCTAAACTCTATGAAGCAGAGCATACACATGTTATCACTAGAATTGCTGGAACCACGTAAAGCCTTCCATACCTCTGAAAGATTATTACTTTTCAGAAAAACATATAGAAATCTTTATTTTCCTAAGGAACTACATCTCCATAACATATGCTTTATCTGCAGCGGATATATGGCCCCAGAGTATGCCATGCGAGGTTATTTAACAAATAAGGCAGATGTTTACAGCTTTGGGGTCGTTGCCCTGGAAATTGTCAGCGGTAAAAATGGCACCAGTTACAGACCAAATGATGAGAGTGTCTACTTGCTTGATTTGGTAATTAAAATTAGCTTACCCTTATTCTCATGTACTGTCAAAATCTTGTGGCAACTTGTATTAGGGAGTTAATCAAGCTAAATTGTTGCTACGGTAGTTATCTGCAGCATATTTAAGATGATAGATAACTCCTCTGGGAAATGATTATAACCATATAAAGTGAAGGGAAGGGAAGGCATTTCTCCATTGATTAAGAGGTGTCATATTCTATTTATTGTAATATTTCAGGCTTATGTTTTGCAAGAGAAAGGGGAACTAATATCTCTAGTCGATCCAATCTTGGGATGCGATTATTCAGTGAAACAGGCAATGATAATCTTAGACTTGGCAATGCTATGCACCAATCCATCCCCTACTCTGAGGCCAACAATGTCTGAAGTAGTAAAGATTCTTGAAGGCAAGATTAAGATGAAGGCTCCTTCATTCAACGTCCCTTACTCAGCTGATGATTTTGCGAAGGCTAAGGCTGTCGCTTGCCTCATTCCCCGCGTTCGTTCTGGCAACAATTCTACAGGAAAGTCATCAAATGCTGTTTCATATGATGTTGTGAGTCGAGATGAAGATGCTTATGGCATTTTTGAAGATTGTTCCTCGGAGATGGTGGACAAGACAGATAGCCTGACCAAATGATATCTCAATCTCCAAGATCTTCTGATTTCTTGCTCTCTGAACAACCATAATTGGTATATTAGACTCTATGACGTTGTCATTATTTGCGGTCCTCTACTGAGTTTTTGTCTCAATTTTTTCTTGATTTTCCTTCTGTTTGCCTTCATGAAGACAGTAATATGTTAGCTAGCAGGCTATGTACCAAGTATCGAGCATTTATGTTAAAAGTATAACATGGAAGCTTTTTATGCTTTAATGACGTGTTGTTTCTTATGAGATAAGATGATTGAATTGGCATAAAAGAAAGAAAGAAAGAAAAAAAATCTTTCTTAGTCAACAATGTAATTGTCGTCACTTGAGTGAATTGTGGAGAGCTCAAATAATAATAAACAATGTAGTTTACTTAAAGAGACGAATATACTGGGGATAAAAAAACCTGTGGCATGAAACTGAAGATATATATTTGCTTTTCCTTTGCGGTTGAAGGATTGCAAGGAATTTGGCTGCTTTAAAGTAGCATGCATTTCTGCCCGCTTATTTAAATAATTCTCTTCAGACTATTGATTTCAGGGAATTCCTTACTAGGTATGTAGGTCCATGGAAGCTTTAAAAGAAGATAAATAGAATTTATAGTGAAATTAGAGAACTGTCGCGAAAGCATATAATTTTTTTTCATGTCTGACACAATGTAGCTGATCACAACTGTTGCAGTTCGAACAGGAAACAGCAAAAGCCACTAGATCTTGGAGACTAAGAAGCCATCTTAGTCAGGCTCTCAGCTCTGTGTCTTGTCTAGCATTTCTGGTGAACAATCTCCGAAGATTCCTTTTTCTTCTTCTTCTCTACTCACAACATCAAATGTAATTGCATTTGATGTCTGTCCCGAAGAATTGCTTCCAAATTGGGTGCGGGGATTAAGGTCAGCTACTGCCTTAGCCATTGCAAAATCATCAGTTGAGTAGAAGGCATTGAATGAATGAGTCTTCACCTTACTCTTGCCTTCAAGAACCTTTACTACTTCAGACATTGTAGGCCTTAGTGTAGGGGATAGATTGGTGCATAACATTGCCAGGTCCAAGATTGTCATTGCTTGTTTCAACGAGTATGCAGATCCCCAAGTTGGATCGACTAGGCATATTAAATCTCCCTTCTGTTGCAAAACTTAAGCCTGGAATTTCATAAAATCGCAAAATGATTAGACATTTCTGCAGGGCTCATAATTCTTATTAATCAAATAAGATAAATTTAAGGGAAAAGCATCTCTAGTAGTCATTTCAGATTTGCAACGCCAGAAAAGGTAGGCAGCATTATGTTATATTCCTTAACTACGCATATAATATGTCCAGGCCTAATCAGAAAAGAAAAAATTGCTTATGAATATTATAGGAGTAGCTTCCCTTCAGTTCAAAGGGTTAAGAAGTTGTATCATTAAGCAATTGGCCATGTCTAGAGGCGAAAACCTTCAACTCAACTACATGATTTCTGGAGCCAATGCAAGAACTAAGTGGCAAACTCAATTACCAAATCAAGCAGGTAGAGACTCTAATCATTTGGCCTGTAACTGTTGCTACTTTTGCCACTCGCAACTTCTAGGATCACACTCCAAAGCTGTAAACATCTGCATTAATTGTTAAATAACCCCTAATTGCATACTCCGGAGCCATATACCCGCTGCAAAAGTACATGGCTCAAACGGTTTAACTAACCAAAAAATCATGATATCCAGGCTTATAAAAGTAAATAAATAAATAAAGCCTCATAATTAAACTCAAATTCTCCCTATGATGTAATGTTCCCTGATTTAGGGATGATTAAGCGATGAATTAGGTTGTCCCAGCGATTCTAGTGATAACATGTGTATGTTCTGCTTCATAGAGTTTAGCCAGTCCAAGTCCGGTATCTTTTGCATTGAGATGCTTGTCAAGCAGCACATTTGTGGGTTTAATATCTCTATGGACAATCTTCAGCTTTGATTCTTCATGGATAAAAGCCAGACCTTTAGCTATACCATAGCAGATTTTAAGCCCGGTTGGCCAGTTAAGTCTCGACCTTAGTTCCTCAGGACCTGCAGATGCATTGTTTGAATTTCATTCTGAATATATATGAATTATCTTCATTATTTTGTAGTGAAAAGCTTCCTGTAGTGCTGTACTTACCAAATAAGGCATGTGCAAGGGAATTATTTTCCATGTACTCGTAAACCAGCTCAAGCTGGTTATCTTCTGTGCAACAACCCAATAGCTTTACAAGATTTGGATGCTGCAATGCAAAAATTGTTCCCAATTCATTTACAAATTCAGGGATTCCTTTCTTTGATTTTGAAGCTAGCTGATTAACCGCTATTGGTGTCCCATTTGGAAGTGCACCTGTAATTTTGCAACACCTATAGTATTTTATACTCAAACCAAAAATTCTGATGTGCAATTATCAAAATTTCGATCTTCCAAACAGGCATGTATAGCACCTATCCTATCCCACATATAAGTAACAGAGAGCAGCATAAATAAGCATGACAAAGCTTAAGGATTCTAGCAAAGACCTTGTATACAGGCCTGAAACCTCCACCAATTTTGTTCGAAGGATTGAGATTTTGCGTGGCAGCTTTTATTTGCTGGAATGTGAAAGATCCTCCAGGTAATTGTTCCAGACCTTTTAGTTCTGTTTCACAATATCACATCCACCAAAGAGAAATTTATGAGAGGATCTCAAACTGATGTTCGTTGTTCTAATAGCTAATCAAACCAAAGTAAACCATTGTATGTTCTCACCTTCATCGCGTAATTGTTTTCCACCCAGAAAGCCAGCTTTCCAGAGGAGAACAAAGATCAATAGGGGGAGAAATAATATTGCACATCCTAAAAGTGCTGCAACAGTCACTGCTAACATTTTGATGCCAGATTTTCGAGGAACTAAACACGAGATTATCAAAATATTAGATACAAAAACCAAGACTATATGCTGCAGCATGCATAAAGAAATGTATTGAGGAGACAGAGAATAGTCTACCAGGAGAAACTGAAATGCCAGATATAAGAGGACCATAATATTCCATTGGGGGAAAAAGTGAGCCTTTTCCATTCCAATATAAGTGGATCTCCAGTCGGTGGTTCTTCACAGTAGTATTGAACTCCAAAGTTACACCTGCATTTATCCCCATTGCAGCTTCTTTTATATTGAAATCTTTTCGTACCTTCTTGTCCTAGGAAAGTTTATTGTTCCATTTCATTACTGCCAATATTAAGCACACTAGATATACTAACCAATTAAATTGATCACTTACCTGGATTTTTATATCAAAATATCGCTTCCCCTTGCTGCTGTGATCTTTGTTTTCGTCATATAGTATTTATAGGAAGTGAAGCTTCACCTCGTAGTTACCATTTTTCATGCAAAATCCGTAGTACTTGAGGGATATCGGGGAAACACGAGCTGTGTTATATATTGATGCACCAATTTCACACGATTTCTGCACAGTGTATCATTGTGGTCTGCACCCTGGAATGTTCCCATACTACTGTAACCCCAATTCTGATCATCACCTGGAAAGAAGGTAGATTCTCCATAAGGTTGTGAATCAGCTTCTTAATAAACTCCATTACTTAGCATCCTATCACTTCCACAATTTATATACAAGTGATCATCTGCAATGCAAATTGGTTTAGTTAACAGCTTTTAGATTTATACCTGGAGGTTTATCTGAACATTTTAAGGAAAATTCTTTTAGAATCTTGTTAATTTACATGTAATTTAAATTTGTTTGGTTGTAGCTTTTTTTTTTGGATGTTTATATGTCCCAGATGCCAATGGAATCAACCAAAAACCAAAGAGCATATAGCTCAGTGGCAGTGATCCTTTGTGGTAAGGGTCACTGAATTTAAATTCTATCATATTAGTTCTACTAAAATAGTGGATTTGGGGTTTATAAAAAAAAAAAAAAACGAAAGCCAGAGACACACTGTCACGGTCCCGTACAGGAGCTGCAACACCATTCAATTCAGCTTTTAATTCTGCAGCAGCAACTCATGGATTTAGACCTTCAGCCCAAATAGATCTAGCGACCACAGCAGCCCACTCCCAGCACAATTCCACATCTGCGTCTATCCAGAACTTCAGGCCGCGGCCCAGTGGACAGCTCTTGGCTCGCCTGGATTTGCCACCCCAGCCCAGGCCCATGCTGCAACGCCTATCACTCAAGAGTGGCCGGCAGATTTTCCAGCCCAAAGCCCACTGTCTCATCTATCTGCTGCCCAAGTCCAGCAACTGATCGATTTTTTGGGCTGCCAGTCATCCTCCACTGGCCCACATGCTCACATGGCTTCCCAAAATTCCTCTCGTAAGACAAACCCATGGATAATTGATGCTGGAGCCACAAATCAAGTACCATGCGATACCAATTTTATTATTGATGTTCATATAAATCCACTCATTCCACCAGATCAGATTCGTAATGGAGATCACATTCCACTTCAAGCTTTAGATTGAGTAAAACTTGACAATAATTTACATTTTGAGCATGTTTTGAGAGTGCCTAATTTTTGTTTTAATTTACTCTCTGTTCATAAATTAACTCGAGATCTTAAATTGTGTTATAACTTTTAAACCTAAATTTGTGTGATACATGACTTATTCTGGAAGAAACTTATTAGAGTGGGTAGAATATGAAATAGTCTTTATTATTTGGAACCAGCAGAGGAAGGAAAGACATTTATAGCAAATATGTTAAATATGATAGATTTGTGGCATAGAAGTCTGAGACATATACTAATGAATCGTGTGTCATTAATTTTAAACTTATCTGTTCCAGTTGATTTATCAAAGAATTTTTTACGTGATGCATGTTATAGGATCAAGCAGATTATTGTCTTTGTCAAATCACACTAATAAAAAAGAAAATATTTTTTGCTTTAGTGTATTGTGATATTTAAGGACCATATCATACTTTGTCTCGTTAAGGGTTATATTATTTTCTTATAATTATGGATGATCACAGTCGGACCATATGGGCTTTTCTCATGAAGCACAAATCTTAAACTCGACATTACCTCTTACTCTTTTTTAACTAGATGTAAACACAATTCAATACCAAAATAAAGGTTCTTTGTAATGACAATGATCTTGAATTCAATCACTTTGCATTGACGAATTATTATTTTGAATATGGAATGATCAAGCATATTACTTGTACAGATACTCTATAACAAAAATGACATAATGGAGCACAAATACTAAGTGACTAAAGTATTACGTTTTTAGGCCCACCTATCGATCCATTTTAGGGAAGAATGTATTTTGATTGTGACATATCTCATTAATCACATACCACTTTTCGTTGTACAAAACAAGATGCCCTGTAAAATTTTATTTCATTGACCATCCAACTTTAAACACCTATGGTGTTTTGGATGTCTTTGGTATGAATATATTTGCACCTCCTAGTAAACCAAATATTTTTTTGGGATATCCTCATGCTCAGTCGGTGGTTCTTCACAGTAAAATATTTGGATGTCTAAAGCTATTGGATAGATTATTTAGACAATCGTAAAATATATACCTCACGTGATGTGGAATTTTTGAAAGATCTTTTTCCATTCAAAACGTAGCCCATACGGCCTTTCTGCCCCATGTCACTGAGTTAGACTCTTTCACAAGCTCATGGGAGGAAAATTTTGGGTCCATCCCCTCTTCTATGCTGTAGGCTCTTGATTTTCTTATGGAACAGACCATTGACATTCGGCCTTTACTTTCGAAAAGGGTTCGAGATTCATCAATGAACTCTGGGCCATGTCCTGATGATTGACCTGTTTATTCCTAAAAAGCTGGGTCATTTTCTCCCCATGATAGTGACTTCTGTACAGGGCCTTCTATTACCGTACGACCTGTTGATGTTAAGACCACATCTCTAGGGTCATCACTTGATGCTCAGCCTAACACGGCATCACTAGTCCTAGACAATCCATAGCCCATTGTTCAGTCATCTCTTACTGTTCAGCCCAACACGACAGCACCAATCCTAGACATCACACAGCCCACTATCATGGACTTGATGGAAAATGGACCTTCTCGGGATAAAAATTCCATGTATCTAGCTTTAGCTCCTCTCTTATGATACCTCTTCAAATCAAACATCATTTCTAGACTTCAGTACTCAGCCCCTGGTTTAGCCTTCCACTCATCTCAGATAAATCTCCAAGCATCTCTCAGGTTACTGCTAGACTTTTCTACCTTCCCTCCTGCCTCCCTCCACTTCATATTCTCTACACTATTCAACTAACTCAATAACACATTTTTTATCTCATAATATTTCTTATTCTAAATTTTTTGGAACTCATACTACATTTTTGGCGGCCATTTCTTCTATCGATGATCCTGCATCCTTTTCTCTAGTAGTTCAACAAGCAAAGTGACGAGAGGCAATGGAAAAAAAAATCTATCTCAAAAGTAAATTAGACTTGGACACTAGTTCCCTTATCTATTGGGAAACGAGCCATTGATTCTAAATGGGTTTACAAACTTAATTTCAACCTATAAGGCTATATGGAGAGATATAAAGCTTGCTTTATGACAAAAGGATATACTCAGATCGAAAACATTGATTTTCATGAGACTTTTACATCCGTTGCCAAATTAGTTATAGTCATTTACTTTATTTCTATTACTTTAGTCCGTAATCGGAAACTTCACTAGTTAGATGTCAATAATGCTTTCTTGCTTAGAGATCTTGAAGAAGAAATATATATGAAAATTCATCAAGGTTTTGCTAAATAAGGGGAGTATTGAGCTCGTCACCTTCAAAAATCTCTTTATGGATTTCGTCGGACTTTTCAAAATTGGTGTTAAAAATTCACTCGGTCTTTACTAGTCGTGGGCTTTCTTTAATCTTCTTCGACAATTTTTTATTTACCTTTTCTCAAGAAGTTTCATTTGTTGTTATCCATATTTACGTTAATGATGTCATCATTACGGACATTAATACGGATAAAATCTCTTGGCTCAAACAATATTTGGATGCTAAGTTTCATATTAAGGATCTTGGTAAACTCAAATATTTCTTGGGTCTTGAAATTGCATTTTCTCCGGCTAAAATTGCTCTTGGTTAGCGAAAGTATGTTTTGGACATCCTAACCAAATGTGGTTGGACTAGTGGTAAGCCATCCTCTTCACCTTTGGAACGAAGCATAAACTTGATCCCGACTTCGACGCTCTTTGTATTGATCTTAGTCAATATCACCGCCTTGTTGGATGTCTATTTTATCTCACCATCACTCGTCTTAATATTAGTTATGTAGAACATATCTTGAGTCAATTCATGCACAAGCCGTGACAACATATTTTGATGCTCGCTATTAACATCCTCAAATATCTTAATGAATCCCTTGGATAAGGGATTTTGCTTTCTTTCGATAGTTCTTTATTCTTAAGAGGCTATTGTGATAAGGATTGGGCTATTGTTCCATTACTCATCGATCCACCATTGGCTATATGATGTTTTTGGGATCTTCACCTATTTCATAGTGATCTAAGAAATAATCTGTTATTTTTCATTGCTCTACCGAAGCTGAATATAAAGTCGTGGAAACTCAATGAGATTGTATGGCTTGTACATCTACTTTCCGATTTGGTGTCCTTTATCCTAGTCTTGTAGCTCGTTTTACAACACGCAAGTTGTTCTTCATATTATTACCAATTGTGCTTTGCACAAATGTACCAACACATATCAAGATAGACTATCATTTCATTTAACAACACATTCAATCTAAGCTTCTATTACCATGACCTATTTCTACTCAATACCAATTGGTCGACATCTTTACTAATGCTCTTAGGCATGACCACTTTTAGATTTTACTACATAAGTATTGCCATTTATCTTCTTATTCCAACTTGAGGGAGAGTAATAACATAAATTATCATGCATTTAATATTCAATATTTGATCTTTATTATGTAATATTTTATATTGAATGTAATCTTTATACATATAAATGCTTCCATATTTCGTCATTCTATTATAGGAAATACCTAACCTAACTAGCCTAAATTTCGGGTAGAATAATTGTAAAAATCTTGCCCTATTTCTCTAAAACAAAATATACAAGTGATATTTTCACATTCTTCAAAGTCGGTGTTAGAACACATTTAGCCTTCAAAGTCGGTGTCACCGCATATAAATGCTTCCATATTTCGTCATTCTATTAGAGGAAGTACCTAGCCTAAATTTCGGGTAGAATAATGGTAAAAATCTTGCCCTATTTCTCTAAAACAAAATATACGAGTGATATTTTCACATTCTTCAAAGTCGGTGTCGAACACATTTAGCCTTTACTCAGCTACTAGATTGTCTTTTAAGCCAAATCAGCCTAAGTCCGATACCATTAAAAGATAATTAAAGTTAGTTATCCGTGGATAGTGAAATTGAATCTTAGTTTTGATTGCAAATTAATTGTAGCTTAATTGTTATTAATGTTATATTTTTTGTTAAGAGGTTTGAAGTTCATATCTTTTGAGTTTCTAATCTATAATCATTACTTGCTATCGAAGTTAGTGTCGAACCCATTTATTTTTTGCTCGACTACTAGACTACCTTTTAAGCCAAATTAGTCTAAGTATAGTAACACTAAAAGATAATCATTAATTAACGTTATATTTTTCAAAATCAATGTCGAACACATTTAGCCTTTGCTCAACTATTAGATTGTCTTTTAAGTCAAATCAGCCTAAGTTTGGTACTACTAAAAGATAATTATAGTTAGTTATCCGTGGATGGTAAAAATTGAATCTTAGTTTTGGTTGCAAATTAATTGTAGCTTAATTGATGCCAATGTTATACTTTTTATTAAGAGGTCCGAAGTTTTTTTTTTTGTTTGTTTTTAATCTAGAATCATTACTTGCCATCGATAAGATATCTATCTTATTAGTCTAACCAATTTTCATCGAGAAAAAAATTGTTTGTGGTAGCTGTTTCAGTTGGTAACTTTGTTGACCATCGTGCCAAATTAGCTGGTATAGATAAAAACTACCGAGGGCCTCTTACCAGAATAAAATAAATAAATAAATAAATAAAATCAAGATAACGAGAATTCTTCTACCTCATGCAAGGAGCTTTGTAAAGAGATCGTGTAAACACATGAAATTTAATAGCTTTAATTATTCATCTAGCAATTATATTTTTTAACA